CAGCCCTCAATAAATGTTAGCTGTTACTGTAATTATTATTATTTAATAATTATGGGGATGGAATCTCTTACCATAAAAATAATAGAGGAGATAGCAGAAGATTGATAGATCTGATTATGTGAAAATAATCACTTTTATATATTAAAAAACATAAAAGACAAGGAACAGTGGGGAAAATGTTTGCAAACATGGCAAAGAATTAATATTCTTAATATATAAAGGATATTTAAAAATCAATAAGTAAAGCACTAATATCGCAGTAGAAAATGGGAGGAAGGACTGAATAAACATTTCTGAGGTAAACATATTTTAAAAGTTCAACTGTTACTAAACAGATACAAATGAAAATAATATGAAAAGGCTGTTTTGTTGTTATTTTCTCCTTTTTCAGTGATCATACTCAAACAGCATGTTGAGACAGGTACCCTCATCCCCTAGAGAAGGAACTACTATGCCCTATTCGGAAAACTATCACTGTGTGCCCAGAGTCTTAAAATGATCATATTCTATGAGTCAATACTTCTGCATTTCAGGAATCCATTTTGAGAAAATATCAGACAATGCTATTCACCATTTTTTTTTCTAATTCCTTTAAACAAAAAACAGAAAGAAAGAAAGAATGAATGAATGAATGAATGAATGAATGAATAAATTAAGTACTCATCTCAAGAAGCTAGAAGAACATCAGAAAAATCCAAACAAAGTAGATGAAAGGAATTCTGCGGAAGAGTGTTTTAAATTTTCCAAATGGCCAAATTTTTTTGCAGGGCTTCTTATTGTAAATTTTAGTTTTATTGCCATATGGTCAGAGAATCAGGGGCTATGTGATTTCTGCCCTTTGGACTTTACTGGAATTTTTCTTTGTGGCTAATTAACAACTTTTTATAAATGTACCATGGATGCTGAAAAATTTAATATTCCCTGTTTTACATGTATAAAATGGCATTTATTTATATATATAACAAGTTTATTGTTATCTAATTATTTCATATTCTCATTTATTTTTTGCCTGTGATTAAATTCTAAAGTATGTTAATATCTTCAACTATGTAGTTTTACATTCTTATATATTTCTTGTTTTTTTTTTTTTTGAGATGGAATTTTACTCTTGTTACCCAGGCTGGAGTGCAGTGGTATGATCTCAGCTCACCACAACCTCTGCCCTCTGGGTTCAAGTGATTCTCCTGCCTCAGGCCTCCCGAGTAGCTGAGATTACAGATGCCTGCCTCCATGCCCGGCTAATATTTTTTTATTTTTAGTAGAGACAGGATTTCATCACGTTGGCCAGGTTGGTCTCCAACTCCTAACCTCAGGTGATCCACCCTCCTCAGCCTCCCAAAAGTGCAGGGATTACAGGCGTGAGCCACCACGCCTGGCCTAAATTATTCTATATTTCTAATAGTTTTCACTTCATATACTTTGATAGAATGTATTTAAGTGCAACAAGTTTCATGATTATTATATCTTCTAGGTATGCCAAACTTTGCAATGGTACAAACTGACATCGCATTCATTTTAATATTTTAACCTTGAATTTCTAATCAGCCTAATATTAATATTGTAAATTGTTTCCTTTTTTTGTTTTCTTCCTTTTTTTTTTTTTTTAAGAGACAGGTTCTTGCTCTGTTGCCTAGGAGTACAGCTCAAGGGGGTATTCTCCCCCCTCAGACTCCTGAGCAGCTGGGACTACAAGTGCACACCACCATGCCTGGTTCATCTTTTATGAATTTTTTTGTTGAGATGGGGAGGTCTCACTATGTTGTCCAGGCTGGTCTCGAACCCCTGGCTTCAAGCCATCCTCCCGCCTCAGCCCCCTAAGCTCTGGGATCACTAGTGTAAGCCACCACACCTGGCCAATTCTGTTTATTTTGATTTGCACTTGCTCACTGTATCCAGCCCATCCCTTATTTTCAACTTTCCTGTGTTGTTTTATTTTAGCTATGTCTCTTCATTACTCATAAAACTGGCCTTTGTTTTTTCTTCAGGTTTTACTGAGTTTGAGATCTGTCCTTTAATAGGGGGTTTCCTAAATCCCATGATTATACATTGTGTTTACCACCTCCCGTTTTTTTTTCTCTCCTAACCTTTGCTGATCATCTTTTCTTCCCCTTGAATGTGATTTCCAGTTTCTAAGTCCTATTCTCCTCTAGTCTAATAATGAGTATCTCTAATTTTTAAAAGCTGGGAGAATATACATGGTTAAATATGCAAAATCACACTAATCTTAAGCACAAAGCTTGAAGAAATTGAACATATGCATATACTTGTGTAAAAACCACTCATACGAAGATTTGGAACATCTCCCAGTACTCCATAAAGCGTCTACACCCTCCTCCAGAGGTGCCACTTTAACAGATCATCAGCATTCATTTTGCCTGTCCTTGAACTTCATAAACATATATGCATTATTTTATATCTGGCTTTTTTTTGACAGAATTTTGACTCATTCATGAAACTGCACTGACCAGCAATTTATTCTTTTTTCTTGTTATATAATATTCCCTGTGTATGTGTTTCATAAACAACCCACTTTTCTGTTGATGGGACATTTCCCCCTTAGGTTTTGTGTGTGTGTGTGTGTATATGTGTGTGTGTGTCCCCCTTAGGTTTTGTGTGTGTGTGTGTGTGTGTGTGTGTCTCTCTCTCTCTCCCAGGCTGAAGTACAGTGGCAGGATCTCAGCTCACTGCAATCTCTACTTTCCAGGTTCAAGCAATTCTCCTGCGTCAGCCTCCTGAGTAGCTGGGATTACAGGTGCGTGCCACAACACCCGGCTAATTTTTGTACTTTTAGTAGAGATGGGGTTTCACCATGTTGGCCAGGCTACTCTTGAATTCCTCACCTCAAGTGATCTGCCTACCCTAGTCTCCCAAAGTGCCGGATTACAGGCGTGAGCCACCACACCTGGCCTTGGCTGTTTTAAATAAAGCTGTTACATACATTCTTGTACATCTTCTTATGGATAGATGCATCCATTTCTCTTGGGTTTATGTCTAATAATGGAATTGCTAGGTCACAAAACAAGCACGTACTTAACTTTAGTAGAAAACGCCAGCTTTTTAAACAGCCACCATAGTTGCAGCACAATGCATTGCCTTTTTCTATGTTCAGACACACAAATATGTACCATTGTGTTACAACTGCCTACAGTATCCTTTTCAGTAACATGCTGTATAGGTTTGTAGTCTGGGAGCAATAGGCTATACCTGATAGCCTAAGTATGCAGTAGGTTATACTCTCCAGGTTTCTGCAGGTATAGTCCATAATATTTGTACAATGAAATTGTCTAGTGACACATTTCTTATAACGTATCTCTGTCATCCAGTGACACATGACTACATTATGAATATCTTCTCTATGGCTTGTCCTTTTGCCTTCTTACAGTTTTCATGAATAGAAGTGTTTGATTTGGATGTAGCATCCTTTTTGTTTTATGGTTAGTGGGCTTTGTGACCTAATTAAGAAATCTTTGCCTACTCCAAGGTCATGGAGACATCCTCCTGCATTTTTCTTGTGCTTTATAGATTTATCTTCCTTATTTGTATGTGTTTAAGGTAAAGGTATCATTACTCCAGCACAATTTTTTGGAATACTGGCATATCCCATTAATTTATTCATCAACATGTAATTATTGAGAGCTTACTACATTAGACGTGTGGGAGATAGGTCAGTAAACAAGAAAGATACCATTTTTGCCATGTAATCTAGTAAGCAGTTTAACAAGCTGGATCTGTCAACCCGTTAATTTCAGGAAATCCTTAATCTGAGGAAAGAGCTGAGTAAAACTCTAACTTATGCCCAGTATCTGGCAATCTGATTGCACTACATAAATTGGAAGCTTGGTGTTCTGTTTCCATTTTTCCGGATATCCTATAAACTGATGATGGTTGAAGGGAACATGAAAACTCACTCCCTTCATTTTTTTCCTATTATGAACATTCAAAAACTGAAAAAAAATTTTTTTTTTTTTTTTGAGATGGAGTTTTGCTCCTGTTGTCCAGGCTGGAGTGCAATGGCTCAATCTCGGCTCACTGCAACCTCTGCCTCCTGAGTTCAAGGGATTCTCCTGCCTCAGCCTCCCAAGTAGCTGGGATTATAGGCACGCACCACCTCGCCCAGCTAATTTATTTATTTATTTTTTTTTAAGTAGAAACGGGATTTCACCACATTAGCCAGGCTGGTCTTGAACTCCTGACCTCAGGTCATCCACCCACCTTGGCCTCCCAAAGTACTGGGATTACAGGCATGAGCCACCATGCCTGGCCTTGAAATTTTTTTAATTATGACAAAATATACATCACATAAAATTTACCATCTTAGGCATTGTTTTTTTGTTTTGCTTTGTTTTTGAGATGGAGTCTCACTCTATTGCCCAGGCTGTAGTACAGTGGCGTGATCTCAGCTCCCTGCAACCTCAGCCTCCCAAGTTCAAGCAATATTCCCAACTGAGCGTCCCGAGTAGCTGGGATTACAAGTGCCCACCCCCATGCCTGGCTAATTTTTGTATTTTTAGTAGAGACGGGGTTTCACCCTGTTGCCCAAGCTAGTCTCGAGCTACTGGGCTCAAGCAATCCGCCTGCCTTGGCCTCCTAAAGTGCGGGGATTATAGGCGTAAGCCACCATGCCCAGCTCATCTTAGCCATTTTTAAGCTTATAGTTCATCGGTATTAAGTACACTCACACTGTTGTCCAAACATCACCACCACCCATCTCCAGTACTCTTCATCTTGCAAAACTGAAACTGTGTACCCACTATAAACAACAAAACCCTGTACCCCCACCCCCAGCCCCTGGTAAATACCATATGACATTCTTTGGAAATACTTTTTTTAAAAAACAGAAAAGTTTAAAGGCATCAGAAGTGAAAAGTAACATACATTCCCACCAAACAATTCGTGTTAATATCTGGAACATAAAATGGAATCACATCTTAGCTGAAAATCATATTCTAAAGTTGTGTACAAAGTGAAAATTGTGTATGTCAAAACAACTGTTGAAAGCCAGGCACAGTGGCTCACACCTCTAATCCTAACACTTTGGGAGGCTGAGGTGGGAGGATTGCCTGAGCCCAGAAGTTCGAGACCCACCTGGGCAACATGGCAAAACCTCATCTCTATAAAAAAAAAAAAAAATACAAAAACTAGCCAGGAGTGGTGGCATGTGCCTGTGGTACCAGCTATTTGGGAGGCTACGGTGAGAGGATCACCTGAGCCGAGAAGTCACGGCTGCCGTGAGCTGTGACCATGCCACTGCACTCCAGCCTGGGCAACACAGTAAGACACTGTCTCAAAAAACAAAAACAAAAACAAAACAAAACAAACAAACAAAAAAAACCTGTTGAAATTTTTTCCAAAGAAACTTCCAGTTAGACATAGCAGCTTGAACACATGCTTCTGGTTGATTTTTGTCATCTTAACGCTTACACGTTCAGAAGGACTCGTGCCCAGAGATGCTCCAACGAGTTTTTTAGGGCCTCTGTCGTAAACACTGGATAACCGAGGATCACCAGACATTTAAGGGAAAACAGAAAACTTTAAAATGGAAAACAGCCACCCAAAAACAAACCAAAAAAAACTTGGGAGAAACAGAAATTAATTCTCAAAGAAAAAAAAATAATGTTGCATCAATGAAACAAGAACAGAATATGGGGGGAAAAAAGGGAACACTCAGAGAAAAGAAAGGGCACTCATAAACTAAACACCTGAGAGCAGAAAATTTTTCAATGCCCAGGAAAAATACTGGAAGATAAAATTATAAAATATTAGAAGACATTACATACGAAGTAGGGCACAAAAGATAAAATATAGAAAAGAAAATATATTTTCTTAAATACTTGAGGGTCTAACCAGGACATCTACCATTCAACTATCAGAGGTTCTAAAAAAACGATATACAACACAAAAGAGAGGAAATTATTAAAGAAATAATACAAGAACATTTCGTATTAAAAGATCCTCTCGTAAATAAAGAGGAAAAAAAAAGAAAAAAAAAAAGACCCTCCTGTGTACATTGCTGTGAAATTTCAGAATATGTAGAATAAAGACAAGAGGTAAAGCTTTCAGAGGGAAATAAACAGCTCGTATAGAAAGTATTGGGAATCTGGGAGGCCGAGGCGGGTGGATCACGAGTTCAAGAGATCGAGACCATCCTGGTCAACATGGTGAAACCCCGTCTCTACTAAAAATACAAAAAATTAGCTGGGCACGGTGGCGCGTGCCTGTAATCCCAGCGACTCAGGAGGCTGGGGCAGGAGAATCGCCTGAACCCGGGAGACGGAGGTTGCGGTGAGCCGAGATCGCACCATTGCACTCCAGCCTGGGTAACAAGAGCGAAACTCCGTCTCAAAAAAAAAAGAAAGAAAGTATTGGGAATCAGAATGACCTCAGACTTTTCAGCAGCAACACAAAAAAGTAGAAAACAATAGGCTGTGTCCTCCAAATTTTAATAAAAAATTATTTCCAATCTAGAATTCTAAATCCAGCCAACCTAAAGATGAAATCATGAAGGCAGATTAAAGATATTTTCAGATACTTGATCTAAAAAAGCTTACCTCCCATGCACACCTTCTCAAGAAGCTACTGAAGGATCTGTTCCACCAACCCAAAGAAGCAACCCAAGAAAGAACACATGGAAGTCAGAAGACAAGAACTCAACCACAGGAGAGGGAAAACGGGTCTTCCCAGAGTCGTAGGGAAAGGCTGACAGCTGGGGAACAGGTCTAGTGAGCGCAGCCCAGACTGCTGCGGGAGAGCGAGCAGAGGGCTCCAGAAATGGCACCAAGAAAACAATAAGTTGCTTGACGTCTCTGATGGTGCTGAGGGGAATTTTACAGCCTGAGCTGAATGAGGATCAATCAGTGATAAGTACATAGCTAAGCAAACTACCCCCATCCCCAAATAGAGCCCATTAACTCCATGAAAAAAATATTTTACAAAAGAGAAAGCACAACCATCACATACTTCATGGCTCAGTTGTGAAAAATAGTTACATACTTTACACATTTATTATAATTAGTATTTATGATTTTACTAAAGTATAAATATTGTTTTAGTATTATAATGATTTAAATTTGGTATTTATAATATTAGCACCGTTTAGTATTTAATGTATCCGATACTACTAAAACAAACTAGATCTCCATCAATCTCTATTTCATGCCTGTAAATTCCAGCACTTTGGGAGGCTGAGCTGCGCAGATCATTTGAGGTCAAAAGTTCAAGACCAGCCTGGCCAACATGGCAAAACCCCGTCCCTACAAAAAAGAACAAAAATTAGCCAGGTGTGGTGATGCGTGCCTGTAACCCAGCTACTCGAGCGGCTGAGGTATGAGAATCACTTGAACCCAGGAGGTGGAGGTTGCAGTGATCCAAGATCACACCACTGCACTCCAGCCTGTGCAACAGAACAAGACTCTGATCTCAAAAACAAAACAAAAAAAACTTTAATTTGTCCAAATATCCTCAAATTCATGATGTCTGAGGGGTTGAACATAAAGGCATAAACATGAACACAAAGGCAAGAACAAATTCATCATCTCTGAGGGCATGAACACGTATTTATGGCTATTCTGCTAACTGCTGGATAAAATAATGGCACATAGAATCTAGCACATTTAAAAAAACACTACCCTACAACTGGCTGGAATTCATACTAATAATATAATCATGATTTGCTATTATCTATTAATATACTTATTATTATTAGATCAAAAGACAATAATTATATGATTATTTCTGTAAGTGATAAAGGGCATTAGATATAATTCCATATCCATTCTTAGTAAAAACTCTTAACACAGTAAGAATACAGGAATACTTCCTCAATATGATGATCTGTCGGTGGGAGTGGGGGCAACGAGTATCTACTTGTGCAAATGTGTTAGTGTCACTCTCCAAGGCTGACGTCATCTTTTATTAAAAAGATATAAAGGCCAAGCATGATGGCTCACGTCTGTAATCCCAGCACTTTGGGAGCTGAGGCCGGCGGATTGTCTGAGCTAAGGACTTCGAGACCAGCCTGGGCAACACAGTGAAACCCCATCTCTACTAAAATACAAAAAATTAGCCGGGCGTGGCGGCGTTTGCCTGTAGTCCCAGCTACTCAGAGGCCAAGGCAGGAGAATTGCAAGAACTGGGAAGGTGTAGGTTGCAGTGAACCAAGATCATACCACTGCACTTCAGCCTGGGCAACAGAGCGAGACTCTGTCTCAAAAAAAAAAAAAAAAAGATATAAAAGCACATTATTTAGAACCAGGAACAGGTCATACATTCACAATCATCAGTTTTATTTATCGCTGTTCTGAAGGTATTCACTGATGGAACTGGGCAAGAAAAGTAGTAATAGATAAAAGCAATGGAAAAGAAGAGGGGAGAGCGTTATTTCCATATAGCACCTGGAAAACCTGGTATGAATTAACATACAATAAACAATATAAGTAGCAAAATCGGTATATAAAAATTGCCTTCAAATTAAAGAACTGGCTGAAAGACAGGATGAAAGAATACATCCCTTTCAAAGTAGCAAAAAAAAAGATACATGGCTGGGTACAGTGGGTCATGTCTGTAATCCTAGCACTTTGGGAGGCTAGGGCAGGAGGATCACTCAAGCCCAGGAGTCTGCAACCAGCCTGGGCAACATAGTGAGACCCATCTCTACAAAAAAATGAGAAAATTAGGCCGGCCACGGTGGCTCACGCCTATAACCCCAGCACTTTGGAAGGCTGAGGCAGGTGGATGGTGAGGTCAGGAGATTGAGACCCTCCTGGCCAACATGGCAAAATCTCACCTCTACTACAAATACAAAAATTGGCCAGGCTTTGTGGTGTGTGCCTATAAGCTCAGCTACTTGGGAGGCTGAGGCAGGAGAATCACTTCAACCTCCTGAAGTGGAAGGTTGCAGTGGGCCAAGGTCATGCCACTGCCTTCCAGTCTGGGTGACACAGCAAGACTATCTCAAAAAAAAAAAAAAAGGCTTTATTTTTCATTTTTTACTGAGCAAGCTCATTTTGAAAATTATACAGAAATAAAAATAGCCAAGAAAATTCCAAATAATTGAAAAAATGATGAGGCAAGATTAATTTTAACAGATAATGTAACATGTAAGATAGTGTGACAATGAACACAAACATTTCAAGTGAACAGAGTACATCCAGATACATACAGGAAGTTAACACAGGATAAAGTTTCATTGAAAATCAGTGGAGAAAAACTGCAGAGATGGGAAACTACAGCCAGGGGAACAAATTTAGCCCACTGTCTATTTCTGGATGGCCTGCAAGCCAAGAATGGTTTTTATGGCTGTTTTTTTTTGTTTGTTTGTTTTGAGACGGAATCTCGCTCTGTCACCCAGGCTGGAGTACAGTGGCACAATCCTGGCTCACTGCAACCTTCACCTCCCGGGTTCAAGCAATTCCGTGCCTCAGCCTCCCAAGTAGCGGGGATTACAGGCGCCCGCCACCACACCTGGCTAATTTTTGTATTTTTAGTAGAGACAGGGTTTCCGCATCTTGGCCAGGCTGATCTTGAACTCCTGACCTCGTGATCCACCCACCTCAGCTTCCCAAAGTGCTGGGCTTACAGGCGTGAGCCACCGTGCCTGGTCAGTTTTTATGTTTTTTTAAAGTTAGGAGGAAAAATAGGAATTTAATGATACATGAAAATTACATGAAATTCAAATTTCAGTCTCTAAATAAAATTTTATTTCTCATTAGTTTATACACTGTCAATGGCTGCTTTTGTGCTACAACAGTGGCAATGAGTAGTGTTGAAAGACCATACCAACTGGAAAGCCTTAAAGTATTTACTATCTGGCTTTTTACCAAAAAGTTTGTTAACCCATGCAATAATGGTTGCTGGATTATTTTACTAGCTGGAAAAAACTGAACTTAAATCCTTATACTCTATATACTGAAATAAATTCCTGATTACTTAAAAACAACAACAACAACTTGAGGTTTAAAAAATAATATTGGTGGCCAGGCGCAGTGGCTCATGCCTGTAATCCCAGCGTGATTGGGAGGCCAAGGTGGGCAAATCATCAGAGATCGGGAGTTCGAGACCAGCCGGACCAACATGGAGAAACCCTGTCTCTACTAAAAAATATATATACATATGAAAAATTATTACAGCGCATGCCTGTAATCCCAGCTACTCAGGAGGCTGAGGCAGGAGAATCGCTTGAACCAGGGAGGCAGAGGTAGGGGTAAGCCAAGATCATGCCACTGCACTCCAGCCTGGGCAACAAGAGTGAAACTCCATCTCAAAATAATAATAATAATAATAATAATAGTAATTTTAGTGTCAAGAAAGTCTAACTGTGGTACAAAAAGGGTGCAGTGGCTCACACCTGTAATCCTAGCACTTTGGGAGGCCAAGGCGGGTGGATCACCTGAGGTCAGGAGTTCAAGACCAGTCTGGCCAACATAATGAAACCCTGTCTCTACTAAAATACAAAAATTAGCCAGGCATGATGGCAGATGCCTGTAAACCCAGCTACTCGGGAGGCTGAGACAGGAGGATCGCTTGAACCCAAGAGATGGTGGTTGCAGTGAGCCCAGATCATGTTCCTGCACTCCAGCTTGGGCAACTGAGTGAGACTCGGTCTCAAAAAAAAGAAGAAAGAAGAAAGAAGAAAGGAGGAAGAAGGAAGAAAGAAGAAGAAGAAGAAGAAAAAGAAGAAGTAGTAGCAGTAGTAGTAGTCCTAAAAGAAATGATAGACAAATAAAAAAATTCTGCCTGGACAAAAGCACCATCAACGAAGTCAAGACAAATTTCAAACTGATAGCATATATTTGTAACACAAATCCCAGACATGGGCTAATTTCCTTAGCATATAAAATTATAAATCAATTTTAAAACATTAATCTCCTAATCCCAAGAAAGGGTAAAAATACATGAATAGTTAATTTGTAGATATGGAAATGAAAATGGCTCTTAAGTTCAAAAGAGAAATTCAAAGCAAAACAGTATTGAGAGGCTTTCTGCATCTAATTGGGATGAAACAGCTTGTTAAAAGTTCAACAATACTGCTGAGAACAACTGAAAAACAAAACTGATTGAAAGAACTGGGCAGCTGCCAAGGCAACGAAGACTTGAGAGTCCAAGACCTCAGAGAGAAGGGAAGTGCAGAGAGGTGAGCAAATACCCTATGCAATGCTGAGGCAGAGCTTTTGTCCATCTTGAGATGGACTAGAGAGATATAAATAGACAGGCATGTAAATAAATAAACAAATGGAGTCCACAGAGCAGAATTCCTGTGCTTAAGAGATCCTCCCACCTCAGCCTCCCGAGCAGCTGGGACTACAGGCATGTGGTGCCACACCCATCTAGTTTTTGTATTTTTTGTAAAGACGAGGTTGCCCTGGCGGGTCTCCTAGCCCCAAGCAATCCTCCTGCCTCAGCCTCCCAAGTAGCTGGTATTACAGGCTCAAGCCATTGCACCCAGTTACGATTTTTTAATTGAGTAAGGCAAGAGCTTAAGATCCAAAGCGGAGAATATAAAATAATAAATCCATTTTAAAATGTTAATCTCCTAATCCTGAGAAAGGATAAAATACATGAATAATCAACTTGTGGATATGGAAATTAAAATGGCTCTTATGTTTCAAAAGAGAAATTCGAATCAAAACAGCACTGAGGGTCTTTCTGCGTCTAATTGGGATGAAATAGCCTGTAAAAGTTCAACAACAGTAAACAAATATTAGGGTTCACCCCACCAAGGAAAAGGAGCCATGAAGAACTTCAGGTTCTTTGCTAGGACTCACAGAGGGCTACATCCTAGGAACATGGATTGACCAGGGAAGGCGGACTTATTTTTTAAAACCTTGCAATCCGACTCAGGTCAGATCCTGATTATATCAAGTTCATATGGTCCCACTTTACACAAGCATAAAGTAAACTTCAGAGGAAAATAATATCTTCACAGCTTCTTAATTATTCACTGTCATGCAATAAAAAATTTTAAGATATACAAAAAAATAGGACCAAGGGGGAAACATGAATTTTAAAAACCCAAACTCGTAGATATCCCAGTGTTAAAGTTTATCAAAGATTTTAAAAGAACCTATTCAACAAAACAAAAGGCAAAACAGAGAAATTTGCTATAAAACTAAACTTAAAAGGCATCAGGCCAGGCATGGTGGCCCATGCTACAAACCCAGGACTTTGAGAGACCAAGGCAGATGGGATCACTTTAGCTCAGGAATTTGAGACCAGCCTGGATAACATGGAAACACCCTGTCTCTACAAAAAAAAAAAAAAAAAAAATCAAGCCAGATGTGGTGGCACACACCTGTAGTCCCAGCTACTTGGGAGGCTAAGGCAGGAGCATGGCTTGAGCCTTGATTGTGCCACCACCCTTCAGTCTGGGTGAGAGAGCAAAATCTTTGTCTGCCCCCCCCAAAAAAAATGCAAACAAGGTAACTGTAATGCAAATAATTAAAATTAAGAGCTCAACAGATGGGTTTAACAGCAAACTGGATACAGCAGAAGAAAGGATTAGCAAACTGAAAGATCAGTAAAGAAAGTGAAAAGAGGATGGACAATGTAGAATAGAGCAAAAGAGACATAAAGAACACGGAAAGAAAGTCTTAACACAATTACAACTGGAGTCCAAGCAAGAGAAAAGAATGAGAACAAGACAGAACAATATTACAAGATGTAACAGGCCAGGTGCAGTGGCTCACGCCCGTAATCCCAGCACTTTGGTAAGTCAAGGTGGAGGATCACCTGAGGTCAGGAATTCGAGACCAGCCTGGCCAACATGGTGAAACCCCGTTTCTACTAAAAATACAAAAAAATTAGCTGAGCATGACGGTGGGCGCCTATAATCCCAGCTACTTGGGAGGCATCTAACTGGGATGATCGCTTGAACCTGGGAGGCGGAGACTGCAGTTAGCCGAGATTGCACCACTGCTCTCCAGCCTGAGCAACAGGAAGAGACTCTGTCTCAAATAATAAGAATAATATGATTAATAATTTTGTAAAACTAAGAAGGCAATCAGGCCGGATATTCAAAGATTCTATGTTACACAGGATAACTGCAAAGAA